CACACTACCGCAGACGCTCGTTCAATTTCAAATTACCGATTTAGATTGGAATGAAAATGGACGCGTATTTGTGAACATTCAGGACTCAAAAAACCGCGCAAACAGCCTCTTTCGAGTTGTCCTCCGACCCGCCCCACTGCCGTCCTCAGATTACGTGGGTCGTTATCAAGGCGTCAACATGCTGCCCAGCAAGCCACAGGGTTCCTACTATACCGGCTATCTGCAGTTGTTGGACTACCTGGACGCAGAAGTTTTACCTCCCCAAATGCGATTTCAAATCTTAGCGACGGATAACGGACAACCACAGCTGTCCTCTAAGGCAGAAGTGGTTATAGATCTGGTGAACGTCAACGACCACGCTCCGAGTATCATCTTCCTGAGGGAGGGCAAGCGACTGGGTGAGAATCGCCTCACCCTGCCCGAGGTACTCACACCACCGGGATCCATGGTTGCTGAGGTGCACGTCACAGATGCCGACTCCAGTCTCTCTCAGTTGACCTGCCGAATCACTAGGGAAACAGAGACTTTCAGTCTGCTGGAAGTAGAGGCATTAAATATTGGTGGCAGAAATGCTCTGTCCGCTGGTTTTGGTCGACCGGCGTTGCCACTACTCTTCTCCAGCTATCGTCAGTTCTCTATCCGAACGAAGGCTAAACTAGACAGAGAAGCAAAAAGTGCCTACATGGTAAGTAACTGGCTTTTACTAGGCAATTCATTTTATGATCGTTCACAGTGCATAAATCTGTTCTTTGTGGACCGCGCACACCATAACACTACTATAGCGAAAACGTACACTTATTATGTGGATCAACAGATCTTCAATAAATGCGTAAGTGGTCCAGTTGTCATTTAAATCTGTTGCTGCCCTGTAGGTACATAAATAAGTATGAGTGGGTGGTTTTCCAGCCTGCAGAGGTCGCGTGTGAGGCAAAAGTTAAGACGGCAGGTTTGCGTTTTACTTGTCAAGTAATTTAAAATATTATTCCACGGCAAAAGTTTTGAGCATTATTAAGTAGGAGTCACCGCTCAACAGTCGACTGCATTGTACCTCTTTCGAATACATTATACTGATCTTCTTCGCATATGAGGTTTTAAATGCGTTAGTTTGGGGACTATGTGGGTATATGCAGAAGAAAGTTACCTCCTGTTCTGAGGAGCTTTCAAACTAAGTTCGCTGCTATCACAGACTGACATGTAATTTCCTCTTCCAAGACATAAGGAAATGGAATTTGTTAAAGTAAGCCTGTCTATTTACAGCCATTCTCGGTAGTCATTAAATTGAATGCGAAAACTAAGTTGCAAAACTTCTAATCTAGGTGATAAAGTGTATTCAACAAACTTTTCACTTTAGTTAATTAAATCATAAAAGCTGAAAATTCATGGATCGCTCAGGACCGGGATGTTAAGAAACTTTGTAATTCGTTACTTTATGCTTTTCTCAATAAGCAACCTCTTCCATTATTTTCGAACTATTTGGATTTATTCATTTCTTATTCATTTTGGAAATCTCAACCAAGAGTTTAACATAACGCTAAACTCACTGGTTGTCTGGTCAGTTGCAACCTATTTTTAAATAGAAATTAACTGCAGCAGGGAGCAATTTTGTGTGCATGGGGCTGTCTGCCTGTTGTTTGTTCCGAGTGGGCTTTGAAAACTCAAACTCTATTTCCTTTGTCCGGTTAGAAAGGAAATATTTCAATATAGTGTGGACAACTACCTATTTCTATTCTATAAGATGAAGTAAATTACCAATTTTTATGTGTCCACTGATGACACCCCAAATATAACAGAACTCTACAAGCTCTTTAAACGAAATAGACATTTTTGTCAGCTAAAGACTACCTCTTTGAAGAAAGAAAAATTTTAATTTCTTGAACAACAATTATTTAAAAATTAAAAGCCAAGGTCTTCCTTCCTTTCCTAATTTATTTAATGAAATCGTAGTTCTTTCACCTGGCGGTAAATCGGCATAGGCGTCACCTGACGGCTTCTATTGCTTCATGGTTACCATACATTCATAGTACTTTGAACACTTTTGCTGTGATAAGCTTACTTAACTAAGCCAGCAAAAGTATATCCATTGTTTATTCTTTAAACTGAGGGGACAGTTACCAATGGCAAGAAAATGGAGATATAGGATGTTTAGTATTACGTAATGGTGCGTTTCACTTTCAAAGATAAAGTGGAAAAATTTTTTTGCGCCAGAGGAATCACTAAAATTTCCAATTCATTATGTTGACGTGAAGTCATTAAAAATCTGACTTTAATTTCTTGTATTTCTACAGCATTTGCTATAGAATATGATTTACATCGGCGACTTTGCCATGCGTTAGCCAAATTTTACGATTATTGATAGCGATCGCGCTTAACTAAAACGTTGTTATTAACGTCCAAACAACTTTACAGCCGACGAAAATGAGTACTTCTGTTCTTTAGGAAATCGTAAAGCATATTACACTAAGATAGTGATAAAAACAAGTTATTAGGGTGAATAAGCTCAGTTTGCACGAAGTATTTTGGCTTGAAAGTATTTTCACTCACATTAGCCTTCATCTTCCTTATATAGCTTTGGTTAGCGCATTAACTGCAGCCTCAAGTAAGAATTCAAAAAGGAAATTTTAAAAAATGCCCTCAAAACCCGTAAAAGAGAACAACCTAGTTTCTTTTGAATTGTGGCTAAACAGAGAGCAAAGACGTTAAATTATCGAGTCCCAACTCTGCGGTTCGCAATCAAAATTCGGAGTCCTTTGTTGTGGTGGAAGCTAAGGCGTAAAAATGAAACATTATCTGCCCAAAAATATCACCCGGTCTGGTCACTTGTCTTTAGCTTAACATTAATAATGAGCACTCATCCGCAGGAATAATTATATTTCAATCGATTGAAATATAACAGTTGAACCGTTAATCAAAGGTAACTTCCGATATTACCACATGGTTTGAACTTATTTACTTCCTTTGTAATAGTAACTGTTTGAAATTTTCAAGTTTTATATTTAAAAACAAATTATTTTTGCTTTTCACTATTAAAATTACTTTCGCTATATCGCACCGCAAAAGACCACACGAAAATCTTTAAGGATGTGTCAAGCTTACGCATAACGTCGCCAATAGAATTGAATATGCGAGTTCCAGGAAGCAGTTCAAAAGAAGAAGCAAACACTGAATCAAGAATTATATTGTCCTGGCGTTTCGGATTCCGTCGGGAATCCTTAATCATAGGTAATCGTAGAAAAGTCTCAGTCTACGCATGTCTTAGACTTTTCTACGATTATCTATGATTAAGGATTCCCGACGGAATCCAAAATATCAAGAAAATAAAACTCATGTTCCAATGGTCGCTTCTTATTCTGCTTCTTCTGTCAATCTCGTCGTCATCTTGATTTCTCCGGCACCCCTATCATTTAAATTAACCGACGGGAATTACTTACGACCGATAGTTTAGAAATGTTATGTAGTTGAGATAACGCGCAAAACGGTCTCTGTTAATGATGATTCTAATGACGCAAAGATTATTTCAAGCGCCTAACCATATTTTTTCTGGTTTATGGTTATGACTGATTTATAAAACTTTCCATTTTAGCTTCGCATAATTTGCACGCGCAAAACCCTTTAACTATTGTTCCTTGTTTCCCAAAAGCAGTAGAGGAAAGTTGCAATGTATTAACAAGATATAAATATTTACCAAAAGCACAGCGTACTTAACTATGTTTTAAGAGATAGCGCGACTTTCAACTGATAAGCCTATAATAATTTCAAATGGTCTGCAATAACATATTACAATTACATATTTTATAACACAGTGGCAACATTTGCGGCATATATTTGGCGCAAAATTTATTTGATTGGGAATTGGTACATAACCTATTCATGCGTAACGCGGTCCATAAATGTTGCCTTTTGATAACTAACGTGCGATCATGTCCGGCGTGAGCGTGCAATGTATCGAGAACACCCACTGTGGCATGTGAGATAAGGCAACGCGGGATGATTCAAGAATGATTCTGAAGTTCAGCATATTAATGCGAAAGGTATATGAAATTAGTTTTTTTTAATATCATTACTTTGACCCATCTACAGCGGTTTCGACCTGTTTAATTGACTTTATATTTAAAGCAAAAGCGGAAGTTTAGAAGTAAAAGTAAGAGATCGTTGTTAACCGTATTCTATATTAAACGTGATTTGATGCGAATGTGACGTGGATATGTTTTGTTTTCCATAAATATAAAAATTATGCATCGTTCCAAGTATTTGTGATAAAGGGTATTTTTTTAAACTTTACCTTACTGGAGTGATTGAGCAGTTTTCACAAAAGACTGTATCTAGGCAAAGTTTATGTGCTTCTTTCCTACATTGTACGAGGTCCTCGTAACTTCCTGCATAGCCGTCTGTGTAGATATCCTAAGGTTATGACGTCAAATATCAAGATTTTACTTCTGTGGAAACAACGAGGAAGAGTAACGAAAAAATAAAATCTTATTCATGTGACTATAAGAGTTATTTAATAAACCTGTTTTAGCTAAAGTACTTACAGTGAAAACCATCCGATACTACTAGTGAACGACTAGTAATCTCTCACTAACAATTATCAACAAAAACTAGCTTATAATAATATGGCTTATATTTAAGCAAGCTTCAGTTTAATTGATAGATGCTATGCGTTGGAAAATTGATTTATGGGCATATCAGAATCTTATATTTGGGTTAACGTACTAGTAATTTATTAATACCCAGTACAAGTGACATCTCGGACAGTTATCTTACCTATGCCATTTAAAATATAACAAGATTTGTAGAAATTCCCTTTATATTTTCGTAGAATTCCAGCAGTAACAATTATTGGAAAGGTTCAATTCTGCATTGCTCCCATTGTACGAATTTGCAGCGACGGTCCTTGTCTACAGGCATTTTCAGTAGGCAAATTTACATAATTGGTCAAACTCGTTTTTCTCTGAACGACGATTTTGTCATTTATAGGAAGACCCAGCAAATCATTTAATCTTTTAACTTTATGAAGAGTAACCGCTTAATTAGGGTCTTAGTTACGTTTCACACTAGCCTTGAACAAAATAATAGACATAGTACTTGTAAGACAGGTCCGTCGGTCACAAGTTTAGTAATTGCAAAGGTATATGATCAACGAGACCTCATAACCGTCAATTTGTGCAAGCATTGGTCAAGCTTCTTCAAATTTCGTTCAAACCTGGTTCGATTTTATTTTCGTTCTGTTAGTTATAAATTAATCGAACCACCTAAAGTGAGTTGATATGAATATTTTAGTGAACACCAGCGACCGTGTCAACAGTACGCGCAACCGTGAAGTTCCCAATTCTCAGGGAAATAGTCACCGCAAAACGGCTCTTCTCCCTATATTTTACTATTTCTGTTACTGCAGAGCACCGTGGTAGTCATTCCTTTTGCTTTTCCATACTCATTTATAATTAATTCATACAATACACAACGCTCCTCGACTCTAAGGAGACTTCCGTTTTCTGCTGCTCAAGTTTAAACTCCAAACGAACACTGCAAATGTTGAGGCAGACCGAAGCATTGATTTGCGTCAGTCAGCCTTAGGGAGAATGCCGGCAATCTTGCCATTGGGCCTCCGAAGTAAAAAAAACACAATCAAATATGCAATGCCCTGTTTTTTCTTTTATTCCTCCACCCCTCTGCCTACTAGTCAATTTATAGGTGTCATCACCCGCTCCCGACCACTTCAGCTTCAAATGGCTTTCAACTTCCGTCTATTTTTCTACAACCCCTATGTAAATAAGGTCGAGTAGGCAGTGGTAAGAGGGAGAAGGGGCTGCCTATGTTGTCACAACTGAAAATGTTGCTGCCGACTAGGGGAGAAAT